GGTCAGAGATTTCCCCGAAGATAATTATAAAGAATAGATTTGATAGAACAGAGAGAGAGCCCTGTCGAAAGTAAATGTGAAAGATCAAATGTGAAAAGCAAATAATTCCTTGTTCTGTAGACCTACAAGGCACTGAAAAATTAAGGCGACCTATGAGGGCAGAGGAGTCAACCTCACCGATAACCAACTTGTGGAGAAAAACTACTCCGAGAACCATCCTACGATTTAATAAGGAAGGAAAGCTTAAAAGCGTCAGTCTACTAGAGTACGATGGCAAGCGGAGATTGGGATCCCAGCTTAAACCACGTAGAGCAAAAAGAAGGAATTGCTTTTGAACAGACTCAATACTTTCCTGATGCTTTCTATACTATGGAGACCAAACGCATGAGCAGTATTCAAGCACAGGGCGTACTAGAGCAGTGTAAATAAGCTTAGTGGTATAAGGGTCATTAAATTCCTTGGGCCAACGTTTAATGAATCCAAGTAATCCCTTGGCCTTATTGACAATACTGGATATGTGAAGGTTAAAGTTCAATTTGGAATCAAAAATAACCCCAAGGTCTTCAACAGTCGATATACGTTGCAATGACACATTGTCAATCGTATATGTCCCTAAATGAGGCAAAGTTCGGTGAAATGTCATGTACTTACATTTAGATCATTTGAGGTGCAAGTGGTTAGCTAAGCACCAAGATTGCATGCAGTTCAGATCATCCTGCAGGCGATGAAAATGAGAAGGGTCTTTGTAAGTCAGAATAAGTTTTACATCATCAGCATACATAAGAATATGGGAGTTTGACAAGGTAGCGGGGAGGTCATTAATAAATAATGTAAAAAGTAAGGGGCCAAGATGGCTACCTTGAGATACACCTGATGATGCAAACACAGGCTTAGAAATGTGCGACCTAAGCAAGATCCATTGCGATCTGTCTTTTAGATAAGACGAAATCCAACACAAAAAAGCGGAGGGAAATCCTATACGACTTAGCTTAAAGAGCAGAAGATCATGGTTCACAGAGTCAAATGTTTTGCTGAGGTCAGTGTAAACGACATCAGTCTGCATTTTTAGAGTAAATGCTTCAGTTACCAAGGAAGTAAATTCCAGCAAATTGGTCGTAGTAGACCGTATCTTTATGAAACCATGTTGTTAATTTTGAGTTTTACTTTAAAACTTAACCAATAATCATTATTGATGAGCAAAAAAATAAAACTTATAAAATAATGATTATTCTTTGAGTTTTATTTTTTTGATCAAAAATAAAACTCAAGCTGAAATTGTGTCTATTCCATGAGGATTAAGGACATAATTTATATATATCCTTAATCAGTGAGTCAGGGCGAACATTTTGAATTAATTAATTTTTAAATAAATACACAAAAAAATTTTTTTTTAATTTTAAATTTTTATTTCAGAAAATAATTACTTTAACTATGAATTGTTTAATTTTACAAAAAGTAGTTTTTGTAATGAGTTCGGCGTAATGTTGCACCTCAGATCCAGTAACACAAATTTAAGGGCAGAAAATGCCCTTTCGACACTCACTTGCGTTGCAGGAACAGAGTACACAACTTTAGCTAGTTGGTATAAATTCGGAAACTTGAACATTTTTTAGTTAATTAATTTTTTAATTAATTAAAAATTAATTAATTCAAAATGTTCGCCCTGACTCACTGATTAAGGATATATATAAATTATGTCCTTAATCCTCATGGAATAGACACAATTTCAGCTTGAGTTTTATTTTTGATCAAAAAAATAAAACTCAAGGAATAATCATTATTTTATAAGTTTTATTTTTTTGCTCATCAATAATGATTATTGGTTAAGTTTTGAAGTAAAACTCAAAATTAATCATTAAATTGTGAGCGAATGAATAAAAATTAAAATTTATAAATCATAGTGAAAATGCATAGATAATCCTTAAAAAAGGATATCTGTGAATTCCTCGCTTTCTCAAAGTTACTATAAGTGAATGATTTTTTCGTTTAAAAAAAACAAAATAATCATTATTTCCGGTCCCTGCAAAAAGGACCAATTAGTTGATAAAATAAGTTCGTTAAGCAAAGAAAAATTTCCTTTCATGCTCTGCTGAGGGCACCAAATATTTGGACTCATTGAAAAATTACCATTCTATGTTAGGCAAAATAAAATCACGTAGCACAACAAACGCGTCTCTGTCACGGAGATGAGTGGAAATTCCTTTAATACAAGTTATATGTTGCATATAAACCTGAATATCGGATGAGGGAGGTATATACGAGCAAGTGATGTAAAGAGCAAAAGACGGAAAAGTTACTTTTACAGCAACAAATTCAACATCATTTGGCACATCACCATCAATGATTTCCGACTGAAGGTTGGATTTGACTGCAATCAGTACCCCTCCGCCTCGACGACTCGGACGATCATGACGAAAGATACAAAACTCATCTGATAAAATTTCATTATTAGAAATCGTAGGATTTAACCACGTTTCTGAAAACGCAATAATATTAGAATCAAAAGAAAAACTGCTCAGAATTAAATTCCCGAGTTTGGATAAAAGCCCCCTAACATTCTGATACAGAATATTAAGCGAAAAAGGTCGTGAGTCAAGTTTTTGGAAGCTAAACATGACGTTGGTTTCGAAGAAAGAGTACTAGACTGTAAATCAACAAGCAGTGGCGAAACTCGTTTTTTCTGCCTAAACTCATGAACAATCATATGTGGAGGTCAAAATTTTGGATCACATATAATTGAATCATTAATTGAATATTAACCTGAGCAGGAGAAGGCACAGGGGAAATTTCAAACAAATTTTCAGGGGAAGCAGACAACGAGATTGCTGGCGATAGATCAAGATCTACTGGAGAACTTGGGCGTAATGAGGTTGACGGAGCCGAGCAAGGCAGTACCTCTAGAAATTGAGGCTCTGACCAACGTTTGGGCGGAGACACATACTTATATTGACTAAAGGGTGAAAGGCTATACTAGTTTTGTGCGCATGTATGTAACACACAGAAGGAGGCGTGGCAGACCCCACAAAGTATATATATTCTTGATCAGGATGAGAAGCCGAGTCGATATAGCCTTGTCCGTCCGTCCGTCTGTCTGTCCGTCTGTCTGTCCGTCTGTCCGTCTGTCCGTATGAACGCAAGGATCTCAGAAAGTATAAGAGCTAGAATAACCAAACTTGGTTTCCATATTCTCCTAAGACCGAGAAAGTACGAGTTTGAGTTTTTTTTCGATGCACCCCCCCCACTCCCCCGCAATTCGTGTTTTTTCTTATAACTTCCGTAATTCTCGGAATTTTGAAATCAATTTTGGTAGGTACATCCAGTTAGTACTAATGTGTCCGTGTGCCAAATTTCATCATGATAGGTCAATTCTGAAGAAAGTTATAGCCATAAGTAAAATCGCTGCTCATGCGCTGCCTCTGGCGGCAGCGCTGCCCGCAGCTGTTGTTGTTGTTGCTGCTTTGGTTCAACTTTGTGCTGCATACATACACGCATATAAGCACGCATAGGTACGTGATGTAAATGTATGCTGTTAAAACATAAACATATATTCTAATTTAATTTAATTAATTAATTCATTAATTTATTTAATAATTTAATTTTTTTTTAAATTTTTTTTTTTTTTAATTTTTCTTTTTTGTGGAGAGTACAGGCTATTTTACTGTCGGACTTGCTCGACTGTAGCGTTCTATCTTGTTTTTTTTATTTTCTTAATTTTTTTATTTTCTATAATTATTGTAAACATATGTACAGAGTATTTCAATGTCGGGACACCCGACTTTAGCTTTTTTACTTGTTTTTGAGTAAACTTTTTCGAGGTCACGTCCACTTAATCCTGCACATTTAATATGCATAAAATTCTCGCACAACGAACAGTTAAAAAACCGGAGTTGATCGGAATCAATTTCATCTTTAACTGTGCAAGACTTGTTGCAGAAAAACATTGTGGGCGGAATAAATCAAGGATGAATGACCTAAATAACGTAGTTAGCGCAAAGCTTAAAAAGAATGCTGTAAGCAAAAACTGAGCAAAAAAAAACTGAGTGCCACTAAGATGAGCTTTTAGGTACTGCGACAAACAGCAAACACAAAACATCAACAAGAATGCTGAGTGAGAGCAAAGTGCACAATGGGAGGCCTACCGCGAACACTCACAAAAACCTTTTGGACGCAAAGGGAGCTGCTTAAAAACAAAATGCAAAATAATTGCAAAAACAAAATGCAGTGCACTGACGCCGAAACTATAAAATTATAAAATAAATACCTGTTAAATGCACAACCACTAAACTGAGCACAATACGGGCCAAATAGACATTAACTTCACAAAGTAAAACAATAAATAATGGCAAAAATAATAAAAAACACAGAGCTAAAGAAAACTCGTCTTTCACTGACAACAACTCTCTCTCTCTCTCTTGACTCTCTTTGTACATAATATTACTTTTTCGTAAAATATTAATTTAGTCGATCGGTTAAAAAATGCGGATTTTTAATAAAAACGTTTGGAGCGCGAATTTTCCAAATCTTATCACCAACCTAAGCTATAAAACGATACTTGAGTCCAAATTTCGGCTTCCTAGCTTTTACCGTTTGGGCTGTGCGTTGATCACCAATCAATCAGTCAGTCAGGACAAACTGTATACAAGTATATAGAGATATACCGTAACTCATGCTTGACGTTGCATTAGGCTATAACGAAATTTTATCAGATGACTTTTGGCTTTTCCAGCTTCTTGATAAACCTAAAATAGGCGCAAAAACGCGGAAATACCAGAGACAGACGGGAGTGGAATAGTCGATGTAGTATCGCAATGGGCCAAGCTGGGGCCCATCGATATCGTTGTGTATGTTGTTGACGTATGCGATACATAGCAGAAGGTTACATACAAAGTAAATAAGATAAGTAACATTATCGGAAGAGAGCCAATGCTTCCACCTAAGATTAGGGCTTTTACTTGCCTAAAAACTAGGTACCTCAAAGCCGAAAAAAAGACAGAAAGTAATTATTTGGTCAAAGTAATGTTATGAATCATCCCATTTATTCTCTTTCTGCTGTAGGCTACTTGCCTACAGGATTAAAATTGTCAAGCCAATTTTCAATTACAGGTAGATTTTCCATACTCCATTTCGATTCTTCTTTTATGATTCGTAACGAATTTTGAATAATATGTTCGGCACTACCAAACTCCCCAGAATGTTGTTCATGGAGTTTTTTTACCATTTGATAGCCTTCTTCAGTTGTAAAAATGCCAGTAGCAGAACTAATTAAACTATCCCACAATGTAGTTCTATTAGTAAACCTGAAAATATTCGAAAGAATGTATGAGATATAATTTTGAAAAAAATATGATAATAAAATGATTAAAATTTACTTTTGGCGAAGAATTTGCCAGTTTTCCGTCAAAAAGTTGAACAATGTCATATAGCCAACAGAACTTCCTGCCAACGTTCTAAATATTAAAATCTTATCGGAGTCTGTAAAATATGGGTGTTCTTCAATAATTGCTATTTGCAGCAGACGATTATATTTTTCAGGTTGAATAGGACACCCAGTCAATGATTTCAGTAAAAATGTTCGTTCACTTGGTTGACGTGATTTCGGAAATTCCGCAATTCGTTGCAAGCCAAAATTCCATTCCTCAATAGACCCCCATTTAAAAACAGGGCATATGTACTGATTGGGTACCCTAAAAAATAATAATTTAAGCTTTATTTAAATTTAGAAACTCATAAATGTATACTGACGGATTTTCATAATTAGGGCTAGGGCTGTTTTGCCAGAATTTGAATGCATTTTGAGCTTCTTTTACGCAAGGGTGATAGCCCGCTTGGCATAAAAATTTTTTAGCTAATGCCCGTAGATCTTTTTTCCAATCTTGTTCAGGAAGTTGTTCGGTGCCTAATTCCTCATACAATGGAGCTAGAAGACCTCGGATATATGCCTTAATTAACGATAATAGAAGATTTTCATTACAATTTATGTTTGCTAATAATTTTAAAACTTACCTCAAATTTAGTATGAACTTGTGACATAGCAATATGTCTTCCTATTTGATCAATAAAGGTGAACACCGGATTCCATACAATATGATTCCGTTCAAATTTCATGAAGAGCATCATATTTAATGCAGTCGTAAAGCTTAAATCACCAGCGTAAGCTAAATTCCAAGCGTCATGCAAGAGTTTGGCTCTGTAAAAAGCCAATATTATGTATCAGTTTATAATACATGTATATTATTATACTCTGTATACAAAGAGAAAAAAGTATATATATGTTATGTATGTTAATCGGAGGACAACACTGTTTGGTCTCCCACGCCCTTTTACTCAGTCAGCTCGCATCGGTCAGCGCATTCACATCGCACTTCACAGCGATCGCTGCACCATACAATTCAATACACACACACACGCATTGTTACACACAACTATTACAACACCAACATTGTATACTTATTATTAAATAAATAGTTATTAAATCAGCTAGCGCATATTTAAAACTGGCGACGAGGATGGGATAATCCCAAAAAAATTAATTATTAAAGTGTGCTAGTTGAATTGCGTATACATACACTTCTGCTGTCACAAACGCCGCTGCAAAGATTCCGTTACGGCAGCACAAAAGGGAATTGCAAACAACGTGTGTATGCGGTATGAGCATAGCAACAACAACGCATCTATACGTTCCGTTATTCGTTGATATATCAATACTTGTATATATATTTCTCTCACTACGACTGTGAGCAAATGGAAAACAAAGGTTATGTCGCCCAAGCTTCAGAAACAAGCGCCGACACTGAAATAAAAAACGAAGAAGACGAACTGAGAGCAGCCACACATCCACGTATCGCTGGTGTTTCTGCGGTTAATAAAAAGGTGGAAACTGTTACTTCCAAGTCAGAAGAGAGGAACGCGAAACGCACTACAATGTCAGCTGTAGGAAATCTGGAGCCCAGTCAGTCAGTCAGTCCGACAAGTGGGCCACATATATGCAACGTTTTGAGTTATTCCTACTGGCCAATGACGTCACGGAGGAGGCGCCCAAAAAGGCGGCGTTCCTTACCTTAGCGGGCGCACCGCTGTACGAACTCCTGACGTCATTAGCAGCCCCCAAACAGGTCAGTAATTTAACGCTAGTGGAAATTTACAAAGTACTGACAGATCATTTATCTCCCCGCAAATCGGAAATCGCTACGTTTTTCCATTTCCATAAACGCGACCAACAACTGGACGAGTCTGTTGGCAAGTACATGGCAGCTTTGCGTACGCTTGCAGTAGACTGCAATTTTGGAGCTGCTTTAGACCGCATGCTGCGGGACCGTTTTGTTTACGGAATAACGACAATCTTCAGAAAAGCCTGCTGGAGGAAACCGACCTCACATTGCAATGCGTGATGGAGCGTGCGCGACCCAAAGCTCGTCAAGGTACCTCAGGGGCCCGCCAGCCTTGCCTTGGATGCGGCGGTCGACATTTTCGGAAACAGTGTCCCCATCGCGACACTGTCTGCCATACTTGCGGTCGAACGGGCCACATACGGCGTGTCTGCCGAAGCACACGCAGGCCTTCGTCGAAGTCATCAGGAACAGTATCCCCAACTCTAAGCTACCATTCAACACGTGCACGGACATCACGTCAAGCATATAGCCAAAAGTCTGGCGTGCATCAAATACTTCCATTGGTCAGGCAAAAGAAATCTGCATCTGTCGTCATTAATGGTCGAACTTGTCTATTTGAGGTGGATTCAGGATCACCAGTGACCATCATTAAAGAAGCTACATTCAAGTACATCTGGCCTAGAGGTTGCCCCAACCTCGTCAAATGTAATGTGGATCTCAGCGACCACCAGCGCAACTCGATACCGGTAAAAGGGGTAGTTGACACGTCGATCCATTACGATTGCAGAAAAATAGATAATTTGCCACTAATTGTTGTGTCTGGTGGCGGCTCAAACCTACTGGGATGCAATTGGTTCGAGCCACTTGGCATCCGAATCGAAGGAATTCATGCTATCGGTAGTGGAGTCAGCATCCAATCGATATTCCGCAAGTTCGAACATCTATTTTCGGCTGACCTTGGTCGTTACACCGGACCTCCAGTCACCTTACAAATCGATGCTAGTGTAACGCCGCTACGACTGCCACCACGACGCATTCCATTTCCAATCAAGAGTTTGTACAAAGAGGAACTTGATCGCCTTTGCTCCCAAGGAATCCTGGTGCCTGTGGTGCCACGGTACCCGTCATAAAGAAGGATGGGTCTATTTGCATTTGCGGCGACTACAAATCCACGCTTAATAGAGCCATAAAGCCCCATTGCATTAAATTCCTGCAATTAACACGCTGTTGGTGTCGATCGAAGGTGGTTCAATGTTTGCCAAAATTGATCTGGCGCAGGCATATCAACAATTAGCCGTCGATGACCAGTCGGCTCTGCTGCAAACTATATCTACACACAAGGGTGCATTCAAAGTAACGACTCTACAATTCGGCATATCATCAGCACCGGGAATTTTTCAAAGCTGCATAGAAACAATTCTACAAAATATTCCTGGAGTATTGCCTTATTTCGATGACATTGTCGTCATGGGAAAATCGGAAGAAGAATGAGCGGAAAGACTGCAGGAAGTCTTAGTACGTTTCGACAGAGTAGGCCTACGTCTTCGTAAGGACAAATGCCAATTTGGAGTACCTTCAGTCGAGTTTTTGGGATTTAAAATCGACGCTTTCAGTATAAGACCATCAGCTGAGAAAGTAAAGGCAATCCACAACGCTCCCGCACCAAAAGATAAAAACAAGTAAAAAAGCTAAAGTCGGGTGTCCCGACTTTGAAATACTCTGTACATATGTTTACAATAATTATAGAAAATAAAAAAATTAAGAAAATAAAAAAAATTCAATGATCGATTTTACCTTTCTCGGTATTCGAACTCACGTAAAGGGTGTATAATTGCACATTTACATAGCAATTGCGTCTGTGTGAGTGTATGTATGCCTATGCGCATCTATTCGTGTCTGTGTAAGCATTTTCGCAGTCAACCAAACAGCAACATCAACAACAGCCGCGGGCAGCGCTTGAGCAGCGCTGCAGCAGCGCTGCATCAGCAAATATATTTATGGATATAACTTCTTGTTAAATCGGTCTATCATAATTTGGCATACGGACACATAATAACCAACTGGGGGTATTTCCAAAATTTTAGTTCGAAATTCCAAGAATTACGGGAGTTACGATTTGCGGGGTAGAGGGGGGAGGGAAGCAAAATCCAAAATATACATTTTCTGCGTATTCACATAAGGCATCTGGGATTAAAATTTGGTGTTCCTAGGTCTTATAGTCTCCGAGATATAGGCGATTATACGAATGGAAAATCGGGAAAACCCCCATAGGGGGGAAGTGGGGGGAAAATCAAAAAAATAAAACAAACTCGTATAGAATACACACATAACGCATCTTTGTGCAAAATTTGGTGTCTCTATCTCTTATAGTCTCTGAGATCCAGGTGTTCATACGGACGGACAGACGGACAGACAGACAGACAGACAGGGCTAGATCGACTCGTCTCGTCATGCTGATCAAGAATATATATACTTTGTGGGGTCTGCCACGCCTCCTTCTGCCTGTTACATTTTTCAGCTCCCGCAAACCTAATATACTCTTGTACATTTCATGTACAGAGTATAAACAGTTACAGGCTTTCTTAGGTCTTCTTAATTTTTACCACGCATTTTTGCCGCATAAGGCTACCATCGCAGAGCTGGATCGTTTGCTGGATAAGACCTCGCCATGGCAATGGAAACGACTACACGAAGAAGCTTTTACTACACTCAAACAGTTGGTAGCGTCTGAAGATGTGCTAATACACTACGATGGCACCCTGCCAGTATTATTGACATGTGATGCATCGCCCTATGGAATCGGAGCTGTTCTAAGTCACCGCTTGCCAGACGGAACAGAGAAACCGATTGCATTTTATTCAAGAACACTCTCTAAGGCGGAAAGAAATTATGGACAAATTGATAAAGAGGCGGTCGCACTTATCGCAGGAGTCAAAAAAATTTCCCAACTACGTCTACGGCCGTCCATTTACATTCATTACGGATCACCTTCCGCTACTAGGGATTTTCACAACTGCAAAATCAGTACCAAACGTAATTTCGAATCAGATGCTACGTCGAGAAATTTTCCTTCACGCCTATTATTTTAACTTTATACATCGCCCTGGAACCAGAATAAGCAACGCAGATTTTCTAAGCCGCTGTCCAATGCCTTGTCGACACGAGCCTGAGTGTACTGAAGAAATCATGATGATTGAGTGGGCTACCACACCTATCGTTAGCGCTCATACGCTTGCAGCACAAACTGCTAAAGACCCGCAACTCTCAAAAGTTCTCAACTGGGTGTTAAGGGGATGGTCGAATACCAAAGTTCCGAACTCCGACAAATTGTACCCATTTAGCACTCGCCAAAACGAGCTTACAGCGAACAGAGGAGTCCTGGTCTGGGGAAATCGTGTGGCAGTACCGTCATTGTGTAGAGAAGACATCTTGCATGCGCCTCATCCAGGGATCGTTAAAATGAAGGCCTTAGCATGTAGCTACGTGTGGTGGCCTAATATCGATGCCGAAATTAAGTTGTTGGTTAAACGCAGCGTGCCAGCAAAACAGGAACGAGCCAACAAAAACAGCTACACATCACTGGGAATCTGCCAAGCGTCCATGGTCCCGCCTCCATATCGACTTCGCTGGGCCATTCCAAGGCAACACCTTTTTCTTGGTGGTCGATTCATACACTAAGTGCCTTGAGGTTACTGTGGTTAAGTCTACATCTACTGCTGCTGCAATTAAGTTCCTTCGCCAACTCTTCACAACTCACGGAGTTCCAGACGAAATAGTTTCGGACAATGGCACGGCATTCACTTCCGAAGAATTTAAGTTTTTCATGGATAATAACTTAATCCGACACATTAGATCAGCACCGTTTCATCCTGCGACAAACGGTCAAGCTGAGCGCATGGTCCAGAGTACGAAGAACTACCTCAAAAAATGCGACAGTAACATAAACATTGACCTTGCGTTGGCTCAATATTTGTTTAACCAGCATACTACCCCACATTCAACAACAAATCGTACTCCAGCGGAATTACTGTTTAATCGACAAATCAAGACATACTTCGATAAAATACAACCGCAAGAA